GGGTGAAACGTGTGATGACGGAAGGAAACTACACCGAGCAGCCACAGATGCTGTGGAATTGCTCACCGCCACTTACATGATGTTACTAACCAGTGCCACCGCGATACATTTAATTTTAAAAAACTAGTCTCCAGCTGGGGTTGCGATCATCTGAAGGTCTGACCGGGGCTGGAGGATCTGTTTCTAAGGCGGCTCACGCGCGGGGCCGGGAGGTGGTGCTGGCTGTCGGCAGGAGGCCTCGGTTCTCCGCCAAATGTCCCTTTTCGTAGTGCTGCTCCAGTGACCCACGGCGTGGCCGCCGGCTTCCCCCGGAGCAAGTGATTTAAGGGAGAGCAGAGTGGAAACTCGGGTCTTTTATGACCCAGTCGTGGAGGCCAGGCACTGTCAGTTTCACTCTCTCCCAGTGGTTACCAAGTCAGGCCTGCTCCTTGAGGGAAGGGACTGCACAGGATGTGAAAATCATGGGGGCGTCAGTAGGCCACCTATTAACTGTAATAAGATTTACTTAATATTTTCCACTTTTTACTAAAATTAGCTTCATCCTAAGTAATAATATCCATTAAGTCCCAAGACTTGTGCTCATTGTATGTTTTAGTAGAAATGAATATAAACTTAAAGGTTTTTTCAGATTTGCCTTCATTGTTGAAAGTATTACGGATGTCCCCTTTTTCGCCCCAGTGACCCCTCACCCTGCCCCCGGCCCACCGCACGATGAACTGAGAGTTATTCATTAAAAAGAAGGTTCACGCACCACCTGTACTCGCTGGCACGCTTCCAGGGGCACAGGCCCTGCCCGCGGGGACACAGTGGGCCCGGCAGCTAGAGGCGGCCCCAGAGCCTCGGCGGTGCGGCCACAAGGCCCAGCTGTCCCCTGCTGTCCCCTGGAGCCCGGGCGACGGTGCTGACGCTGCGTTTGCTTCCCCCAGGACCGCCTGTACTTCGTGATGGAGTACGTGAACGGCGGGGACCTCATGTACCACATCCAGCAGGTCGGCCGCTTTAAGGAGCCTCACGCCGTGTAAGTGAGAACTTCGCTGCGCGTTTCCCTTGGGACACGGGGTGGGTTGTCTTTCCTTCGGATGTGCAGCTGGAGAGGGATTTGGACCATTTTGGCGTCACCTTCGTGAGAAGGTAAGGGCACTTGCCGAAGTGGGTGCTGCTCTCTCGGGACGCCGTTGGGAGCTGGACGGTGGCAGCCACCGCTGTTTCTGCACCTCGCTCCTGACTCCTGCGGAAAGCCTGTCGCTTCCTTGGGGAATTTTCTTGTGAGTTTTGTTCATTTGTCAATATTTATTGAGAACTCACTATGCACTCGGCCCAAACAGTTTTTTGAAACTTGCTCAAGGTCACAGAGGTCGTGTGAGGGAGATCCAGAATTCTGACCCAAACCTTCGCTCCTGTTCTGTCCTACACCACTGTCCCGTCCCCTGCACGCCCCCAGTCCCGGGGATGAAGGACCGGGGTTCAGCAAGGCTGTGCCTGTGGCTCCTGGGTGGGGAGACCAAGTGCCGGTGTTTGGAAATGTGTTTCCCTGCCGAGTTCTGTCCCCTCAGTCTACGAGGCAGCTGTCTCTCCTTTAGGGACACAGTGTCATCGGGTCCCTCCCTGCTGCTGGTGAGCAGGACCCCGAAAGTCCGAGGATGATGGGTGATAAGCTTGCCTGGGGTGTTTGCTCAGATCTTATTGCCCTTCAGGAAGCCCCCTGGGCTCACCTATGGCCCCGGCTTGTCCTTCCAGAGGCTTCCCTTCAGCTC